TTTTTTGATAACTTTTTTTTTTTTTTTTTTTTTTTTTTGGGTCAGCTTTAGGCCTGAACGGCCGAATGCATCCCCAAGGGGTCCCATACGTTCGGGCGTTCGGTTTCGGGCATTCGGCCCGTCCCAAACACCGGTTACCCTGTATACATGGTTACCAGCCCGTACGTACGGAGGCCCCCGGGCCAACCGCCTTACGTTCGGGCGTTCGGGGTCCCATTCAGGTTTGGACCCCGCCAAAAAATATTTAGGGGCCTAAACATTATGCTTAGCCAACAAAAAAAGAGAAATCGTCAAAGATGGCAGTGTCAAAACGTGCGCACCCACTCACTATTTTGTTTTTTTTCTCTTTTCTCTTTTTGTTTTCACTTTGTTTTGGGGCCTAAACAATTTTATTATTTTTTAATATTTTTTAAATAAGTTGTGTATCATGAGAAATACACACATATGAATTTTTAGGGAATTTTTTAATATTTTTTTAATGAGTTGTGTATCATGCGAGATACACACATAGTGACAGGGTATGGATGAATTTGTCTTTGTTTTGTGATAAGGATTGTTGATCCTTGCATAGGATAGTCTCCTGAACAGGTAAAGCCCGATGTTGGGCCTGTCTACGCCTGTAAATCGTAGGCTGCGAGACCCTATGCAAGGGTTAACAATCGATTTGTAGACTGAATTTTGTTTTTGTTACACATCTCGAGGCTCGAACCGGTGCCTTAGAGGTTAGTCTGCATTTGTCCTTTTGTTGTGTAGCTATGTTTTTGAACTATACGCTGAGTGATTCGAACTGCGTACGTAGGGGGGTTTTGCGATAGCAGGTTAGATTCTTCTAAGTGGGTCTACCTGGAATATGACGGTAGTCCATCTGTCGCTTCACGTGTTTTCTTGCTTTTGGAACTCTCTTGATACTGGTACTCAGTAGGTGAGATACTGGACTTTCCATAGGTATATAGAACGGTAAGTAGAGTTGGGAAACTCTTCAGGCAAACGGTCGTAATAGACACTAGTTCTCCGGAACGCCGGTGTGTAGAGCAAACGAAAGTGGGTTCGATGGACTGTTATGGCTAGTGCATGGTACGTGGTGGAAACCCCCTGATGAGGCGATGGCGGTCGCCGAAACGCGTTGGGGACGCTTTCTGTACATGAACTCTTCCTATCTGTAATTGTGAGTTACGACTTTGCATGTTGAATACGTCTTCGGATGTGTGAGACTTGAGGTTTTGTACCTTCGTTATGTGTCGATATCAACTATTGACTGCACACGTGAACACTCTTGGATAGAAGTTACCGACGGGAGTGAGCGTGCTGTTACGTTACAGTGGTGTTGTTGTTGTTGTACTTGATTTGTTGAGGCGTGCTGCTGTTCAAGATGAGTGAACGGAGGGATTACGCGCGGAGGGAGCATCGATCAAGCAGTGAAGAACGTGGTGGATATAGAAGCCATGAGAGACCGTACCGTAGATCTCCACCAAGATGCTTCGGCTGTGACGAGCGTGGACATTACGCAAACCAATGCCCCAACAGGGCTCGACCGTCGACGTCGCACGATACCCGCAGGGGAAGGTCGACATCTCCAAAAGCTGTCTCAAAAGCGAAGAATGATGAAGCTGAAGCTCTACAGCGGCAGATCGAAGAACCGAACCGAAGCTTGGCCTCGGTTTCAGAGCTCGTTCGGTGCGAGAAGGCGAAGAAAGCTGAAGAAGAGAGACTACGTAAGGAAGCGGAGGAAGAACAACATCGTATCCGTGAAGAGAAAGAAGCACGTGAGAAGAAGGAGAAGAAGCGATTAGCCAAGCTAAAGAAAGACGCGGAGAGAGAGGCAGAGATGGACAAGAGATTTGAGATACGAATCGCGATTCGAACGGGTGATTTTTTCGATTGGATGGAGGCCAACCTTGGCCGGGCGCTGGAATTCGCAAAGAAGGTTAAAGGCAAGAAGAAGGTCGTGGTACTATCGAAAGAAGACTCCGAACATGCGAGCAGTAGTAGTGAGACAGAGAAACTGCGCCAGAAGACGGGGAGGTTGACGATAAGTGAGAAGCGTAAGAGGGGCCCCGAACCTGTCTTTGATGATAGCCCTCCGATGATCACTCCGAAAAGAACTCCCTGGACGCAGACAACAAAAGGAGGAGCGACGACTGGGCGCATCACAAGTTCGAAACACAAGATGAAAACCAAGTTGTCTCCCTATGTGGAGAATAACAAGACAAACCTGTCGAATATTTTGGCGAAGCTGCATTTTCGAAACCAAGTCATGGAGGAGATTCGTTGCCTAGACGCACAAGAACTCCAGTCGATATGCAAGAACGAAGGAGTTACCTACAACGGTAAGATGGAGGCGATCTTTGACATCGCAAGCCATCGCACCAGAGTTGCCTTTGGGGAAATTCCTGGTTGTGAGCAATCTGAGTCCGTTGAATTGGAGGACGAAGACATTACAACTGTCGATGAAGGTGAACCGGAAGATGATGAGGCGTGAGAACCCTACGGAACTGAGGAGATATGGGCTATTGTACATGAGTTGACCGAGTACAGGAATGCTTGTGGACGTGTTGACGCTGTGGCTGAGGAGATTCTAATGATCGATGTTATCCTACTGACAATTCGCGGTGAGATCAGATGGCTTCGTAAGTTTGTTGATTCCTGGAAGAAGCTGTATGTACGTTTCGGGGTAGATTTTGTTAACATTGACTCTTGCATCTACGCTGCTGTTTAATTGAGTTGTAAGCACCAGTATGTCGCGAGGACTACAAGAGGAGTGGACGCCCGCTGGCGTGAGCATGTGTCGGCATGTCGAACCAAGAAGCACACCCACTTCCATCGATGGATGAGTTCTTTCGGAGTGGGTAAGTATGTCCTGCTCCCTGTCGAGTACGATGACAACAGAGAAATTCCCACGAGAAATGAAAGTTGAAAAAATATTCCATAAAAAAAAAATCCTTCATATTTATAAATTATCATTCCAATGTTCGTCAAATTCTAAAATTTTCAGCTTAATTTGATAAGATCCCGTCTAAATCTGAGTTTTCCCTTCCAACTACATCTATTTGTTCAAGATGGAATGAAAGTCTGCACGAGTTTATCAAATGTTTAAATTAAACTTTCATTCTACTACAAGTAATATCTTCTAATTTAGATTGGATTAACCTATTTATGACTGAAAATCCTTACTTAGAAAGAGAGTCCAATTAATATATTTCATGAACTCATCCACACTTTCATTCCATCTCTAGCATGCAGTTCAATTAAGAAGGGATACCCCATTGTTGGAAGGAAAGTTTTTAAGTAAGACGGAAAATTTTAAAATTGGAATGACATTTTTGAAGATGGAATGAAAATTTTAAATTTAGAATGTAATTTCACTATAGAATGATTATTTGATTCTAGGAATTTTTTCCGTTGGAGAAGTCAGAGCTCCCTAATCTTGAGCGAACATATATTAAACTCTGGTCTCCTTTTTTAAACTCCGCGGGGCCGAATACAAGGAAGGGACGTTTACACAAACGGAAGGGGCGAAACGAATGGAAGCAGTCGTCTGATGCAAGTTGTAGAACTTTTAACCCGATAAGAGTTAGGAGATCGACTGAAACCGAGTGGTCAGTAGACTTGACGAAGTTG